TGGCAAATCACAGGGAATCGACAGATTTCATGATCCAGTCCAGGTAATGCGACACCTTGACGTACACTCCGGGCCTGTCACGCCTTGCGCAGCCGTCTCCCCACGACACCAAACCCAGCAAAACATATCGTCCTACGGAAAAAATACATTCTTCAAATTAATTTAATCGCGGAGTTCCAAAATTGGATACAAATTCCATATGCTTCATCGGTTTTTTAAATGAGATTAGACGACTGATTACTACCCCGAACTTTGAGAAAAAAAATGCTACATCAGTCAACGCACTAAAAATGTAGTATATCAGACTTTCAACCACTCTTTTCGCGTTTGTTCAGCATATCCCCTATATTAAACGCATTTCTCAGCTTTTTTCTTTGATGCTATGCAAGCTCGAAGCATGAAAGTACAGTAAATTTGTATTTTTCCCTTATTATTTTTTTCGTTTTAAACCTTCACGACAAGCTAACACTCATTATTGACTGAGCATATTTTTTAGAAAGTTTTAGACGATTTTTTAAATGCTTGCTTGTGTTGAAACTTCGCATAAAAATCGCAAAATAGCCTCAACTCTCTTGTTACGCGTGAACAGAAAAAATCGTTAACGATGCCCTCGTGGCCAGCACTATTTTTTTATTGATCATTTTGCAGAAAAGTCAAGTGTGTTAAACTTAATGGAAGTTGTCTTACGGAAAATACGGTAGTTCGGATACTTCGGACAATGATCATCGAAACTGTGTAACTTGATCTTGAAATGCTGAGTAAAAAAAAATTGAAAATTGGAGCGAAAACTGGACACTTTTGCTGACAAAGAATGATACTGAACATTTTCAAAGAGGGAAAGTGTAGATCGAATGATTTCAAAGAGAGAATCCCTAGCCTTAGACTTCGGAAAACTGCCAAGTACTAAAATATTATTTCAGTATTGAAGACTTTTTACCAAAGCTTGAATGAATTTACAGTACTTCAACTCCATCCTTTTACTCTGGGCTTTGAAAACAACGGAAGAATCAAAATTTTCTGAGAAATTTGAAGACTGGGCGGTAAAATAGGCTAACCTTCTTCAACATTATGCTTCACCTTGGGGGAAAAAAAGCCGCTTTCATGCATTGGTGATTTTTGGTGATTTCTTTTAGAAATGATGATATTTCCTTCTTTAGAGAGTTAGGGAGACAAAAATAGATTTACCGTTGATTTTGCAGGAGAGGGGACCACCAGAGTCGCCACCACAGGCGTCGATCCCTCCATCAAGGTATCCAGCGCACATCATCCCTTCGAGAATTTTTTGAGATCGTTTCCCGTAAACTGCATCTTGCTTGCAAATTTCAGAGGAAATCACAGGAACCTTCGCACCCAGCAATGTCTTTGATAAGCTCGTCGAGTCCTTATCTGTAATTCATTTTCGTTTATTCAAAAACGATGCTTATTTTCAAAAGTAATCACATGATGTATTTTTCTAATTGAGGCAACATCAGGCATAGCATAAAATAGATTTGATCCTCACACAGCATTCACTCAAAACTAAGAGCGATGAGACGCAATTTATCTCAAGAAAAATAAAGCAGTCTTGGGTTCGCCTAAACAATTTGATAACTTTTGGAGCAGGATAATATGCCCACGCGAGAGAAAAAAATATAATTTTGACTAGTTTGGCTAGATTAGCACACCTGTGACACCAAAGAAATTTCTGCAGCATGATTTGAGCAAAAAAAGAGCTATTCAATCCGCAAATAAAAGAAAGTAACCGGCAATTATTTATCTGATCAGATCAGCTGTTTTTTTTTACACAAGCGTGGTAGTCATATTAGTATTGCTTCTAAGGATAATTTATTAGGATACAAAATTGCAGTGAGCATTTATTTTAAATTTTTTCAATGATTTTGAAGAATTTTCGCTGCAATTGCCCCCCCCCCCCTCCCCTTTCTTTGAACTGTTGCTTGTGAAGCAAATATCATTGCGTTTTGCATTACTTTGAAAGAATTCCCCAATGTGAGCTTCTGAAAATTTGAGTCGCTTCTTCGAGCCGATGGCATAAATAAGAGTGAGTATCGTTTGTGAGAAATATTATTTTATTCCGAAGGTGCAACCATTATCTGTAGCGTCATCATAATTTTCAAATGATTATGGTTGGCCCTCTGGACTGACTATTCATCTGTTTATCTGCTGATAATCGATTTAATTCGATCTTTTTAAAATGAAAAGCTTCAGTTTCAGCGTCCTTTAGAAAAAATATCGTGAATAATTCCCAAGGACCACGTACCATTCTGAAGACCCCATCCTGTGACGGTACAAACCGTGCCTGGAACATATTGATCATCCGACTGAGGCAAACAAATCGGCTTGATGAATCCATTGAATTCCACTTCTCTGTCAAGCTTGAGAACCCCTATATCGTCACTGTAAGGCCCGTCTTGTGAAAGTGTTTCAAAATGAAAATCGTCCTCATTATGCCTCTCAAAAGGTATAAAATTAAAAAAAGAAGATGAAAACTGCCTCACTGGCTCGGTGATTTGTGTGATGAACCATGCTTGCAACTTTGTAGGTCTCTTCGTGTGAATCCGAGCTGTCAAGTCGGTGTTCGCCGAGCTTCACCAAGAGGTATTCCTTCGGACGAGCTCGGATGCAATGAGCCGCTGTCAACACGTGCCACTGGGAAATCAAGGCTCCCCCGCAATGATGCTTCCATCGCCGCTGAGTTGCACTGAAGCCCTCTATTTCTGCCTTCAAAGAAAGAAAAACCTCAACTTTTACAGTGATTCTGATAGAAAATAAGATTTGTGCATCTACTGAATTAACCTTACAGCACTATCTTCAGAAATTCCAAAAGGCGAACATCGATAAGCCGCCACCGCCATTTGCTCACGAGGTTTTCGGCGGTTTAGAAGAATGAAACGTGATTTTTTCGATGATAACATGAAAAAACCTTATTATGTTCTAATGCGTAAGTATCTAGCTTGGGAGTGATTCATAGTGAAGAAATATATTTCTGGCTTCAAAGCGAGAAAAACATCCGTCGACTTCTATACCGTTCGTCTCCGAAAATTATACATGGCTATAGTGAAAACTTTTGAACTCTGAAAAAATAACGCGTTTTCCATTTTTTTTTTAAATAGACCATCGCGGCTTGCATGCATGAACTAATCTCTTACCAAAAGTTAGGATCCATCGTCTCTGCCTCTTAACTAAATAAATAACTGAATAAAAGGGCTTCAGATAATAGAACTGAAAACTATAAAGAAATATATGCGTCGCTAGATTGCATTTGAAAGTACTGTAGCACACTCGAACAAATTCAGCCAAGGGGAAGAAGTGATTGAGTAGATAAGTACAAGTAAAGGTATCGTACAACAGATTTTACATCAGACGTACAGCAGTGCCTAAACTGCAACAATTATAACAGTACTGTACTGTACTCTAAAAACGTACCTGCCACGGAAACGATCCGTACGACATCTCGTTCCCACCCACAATCTTGCCCAAGCGGTCATCTACGATTTGAATACCGCTGCTGCTGCTAGATGTCGCAGGCAAGTACGCGTTCCCGCTGGATAAATAAAACGGCCGCTCGCCCTTGGCTCCCGGGGCATCGCCAGCAAACTTGCCCGAGTTGGACGCAAATTCCCTGCGACCCTGTTTGACCTGAGCATTCGAAGCACTTCCTTCATTCGTCGATCGGTCCGGCAAATGCCACCAGGGACGATACGACTGGCTCGGCAATTGGGCCGCGGGTCGCGTGAAACCCGGCGCATCGTTGCGACGATTCGGACCTTGGTCCTTGGTATTCGGATTTTTGCCGAACCCGTTGCTGTTCAGACTGGTGGGGGTGAACCCATCACTGCTGGCTGTCCCCGAAGAACTGACTTCCATGGGTGGTCGGAAATTATATGGACGTCCGGGAGAGCTGGGGAACATTTT